TTCAAACAAAAGTTGTAGGATTATGAGGGTGACATAAGATCGTGCCATTGATTTGACCTTGAATAGTCATTTGAAGGTCACGTGAAAGTTACCTTCAATTTCTTAAACGGAACTACCGATTTTTTTACATATTCTTGTATGTTATTTCAAAAGCTTTACAAAACCCTATACTAACATATGTTTTTATAGAGTTTTTGTTGAGTTATAAAGGTTTGAAGTTAACAAATTTTTTGATATGAAATGTAAAATATCTCATAAATATATCGCATAAAGTCAAAAAGCGGGAGGGATATCAAAGTGGGAACGTGGAACGTCCGAAGTCTTTACAGACCTGGGGCGTTCCAATCGATGGTCGGGGAGGTCGAAAAGTACGGAATAGTAGTCGTCGCGTTGCAAGAAACAAAATGGACCGGGGAGGGTTCACTTATCGCGGGTTCATATACGTTTCACTATGGAGAGTCGGAGACCCATAGTTTTGGCGTCGGTTTCATGATTAATAAGAAAATTTTGTCGGCGGTAAAAAACGTTAAATTTATAAACGAAAGACTAGGATTGCTCGTTGTGCAAGGCCGATGGTACAAGATCGCGATAATCAATGTGCACGCGCCGACGAAAGATAAAGATGACGAAATTAAAGACGGATTCTACGAGGAACTTGAACGCCTCGTGGACCAATTGCCGAATGATTACATGAAAATAGTCTTGGGGGATTTTAACGCGAAGATCGGTAAAGAGGACTTTTTTAGATCAACGATCGGGCTTGAAAGCTTGCACGAGGAAAGTAACGATAACGGAGTAAGAGTGATTAACTTTGCGACCGGCAAAAATCTTATCGTCAAAAGCACATATTTTAGACATAAAAATATCCATAAACAAACTTGGATTTTCCCGGATGGAAATACGCGTAACCAAATTGATCATGTTCTTGCAGATAAACGGCGCCACACGAACGTACTCGATGTTAGGTTGTGACCGAACGCGCATACGGTTGGTATCCATTACCTCGACTTACCGGTCCAGAGGCCCCGCTTTGATCGTTGAACGGTCGCCAGTTGCTTTGACCAACAATAGCAACAAGGTTATGAAGAATCGGATTAAATCCCGCCGTGCCAAGAACGATCCTGAGATGCTGCCTCTTACTGTCGTCTCGGTTTCCGGCCACGTCCTCCTTAGAAGATGGCCGCTGGTTCTAGGTTAAATAACTTTTACCTAACGCGTTTTTCGCTTAACGGGTGGATTCCGATTGTCTTAATTGTTCTCCTCTTTATTTTCAGGTTCGCGTGGGATTCTAGGATCACCAGTATGCAGCTTCGACTTTTTTTGGTAATCATACCTTAATACTTTTTTTGCACGGAATAATGAAACTAATCAACTGGTATAAAGAAAACAGATAATTGTTTTAAAAAAATGTAAAATTCAACATGCATACTTTTTTAATAAGTAATTATGTTTTTTTTTTTAAGTAAGAAAGTTGAATGCCAGTAAGAAAAACCAATGGGAAAATATTTAATGTTACGTTTTTTTACACCAACTGATTGGTTCATTATTTCATGCTTTGGTTAACTTGCGCGTTACGTTTGGAAGTACAATAAGAGTCGGGAATTAAATAACGTGAGAGGCATTAATTGTAATTAACTGAAAGTATACACTTCGAGGAACACAGTCTTTAAAGAATCGATACATGAATATAAAAACGTTCGGATTAAAAATGTGCGTCCGTACGCGGCGACTGTCGAAAACGGAATTTCTCGCATGCAAAACTGTTCTCCCTATCTCCTGCCTCAAAACGCCCTTCGATAGGCATCGAGAGGCTTCGCGAATTTTCTATATGTTTTACTTGCTTTGTTTTTGTACTACTCGTCTTTCGTCTCGTCTGTTATATTTTATTTATGTTTATTTGTGTCTTTGTCCTTTTCGTATGTGTGAGTGACCGTATTCGTATACGTGTTCTTCGCTTGATTATTTTAGGGAAGTATGTGACGATGTAATTGCCACAATGCAAAACAATATTAAGGTACGATTACCAAAAACTGAATATGTTACAGGATATTTTACATTTTATGTCAAAAAATTGTTAACTTCAAACCTTTATAACTCAACAAGAACTCCATGAAAACATATTTTAGTATAGGGTTTTGTAAAGCTTTTGAAATAACATATAAGAATATGTAATGAAAAATAGGTAGTCCTTTTAAAGAATTTGAAGGTAACTTTTACGTGACCTTCAAATGACTATTCAAGGTCAAATCAATGTCACGATCTTATGTCTCCTTCAAAATCCTACAATTTTTGTTTGTAACTTTTTTTGTATCTTAAGTCGTTTCCAAGATAAAAAGGCCAAGTCGGACTTTAGGAATACCCTGTATATATATTATTCAATTTATGATTAACTGACATTAAAATCGGTCTAAATGATCTTGGAAAGTTGGTGTTACCAAAATATTTACCAAAATATTTGACTGAAACATCAAGCAATCTCTATTTATTGCGAGATATTGATTTACGTGATTTTCTCTAAACATATGATGATATTTAAATGTTCCTTGCATTTCCAGGAAAAAGCACTATGGTTTTTACAATATTCTAGATGTAAAGATCTTCTGAGATCTAAAACAACTCGAATTTTACTTTCCGCTCGAGGTAAAAAAATCGCACTTTTTGGACATTCTCCTTTTAGTGTCTATCTAAGAATTTAATGTATTATTACACTTTTTTATATAAAACATCTCAGCTATTTCTCTTTTCTTAGCATTTTTCTCATGATGTAAAATTATCAGATTATCCCAGGCAAAATCGTGTTCAAATTCAACTCTATGTTTGCTCACTAAAGAGTAATTACTTTCATGTAATTTAATATTATTTTTATTCTCTAATGCGGGTTTTCAGGTGTCTTTTTGTTTGTCCGATGTAAGAAAAAGTACAATTTTTACATACAATTTTGTATATCACTTCAGTTCACTTCTATTCAATTTTAAAATCTTATCTTTACCGTGATTGATAATCTTATTTAATTTTTTCAGAATCGAGTATATTACATTTAAACCAAACTTTGAGAGAGAATTTTTATATTGTCACTGAGATGGTTTATGTAAGGCAATGTAAAACAAGATTTTAAGTTTCAAATTTTTGTTGACAACGCGGTTCATTATTATTCCTATTGTGTCTTAAAAATCTGAGGCGTTTATTAACAATGCGGTTGACAATATTCAATGAAAAACAATTGTTAACTAAGATTCCCTTCACAATTTCCTTATTCTGCCTATGAAATTTGTCGTTAGACAGTAGAATCGCGTAATCCATTAAATTTATAATGGTATTAATTTTGTATTTCTCTGGATGATTTGACAAATAATTTATGTATCTACCTGAAAACGTCGGTTTTCTGTACCAATTGGTAATTAATCTTCCTTGTGTTCTTATTATTGTAGTATTTAGAAAATTTATCCTGTTATTAGTTTCGATTTCATATGTAAATTTTAAGCGATCATGATACTCATTAAATGTCTTAAGAATGACATCAATTTCATCTTTCGGAATTACTGTTAAAATATCGTCAACGTATCTAAAATATAAAGAAATACGAAAATTTAACTTATCAAGGCATTTTGTTTCCAAATCATCCATAACGATATCTGCTTGTATGGGTGACAAAGGTGAATTATTGGTGTACCAAAGGTTTGTTCATAAAATACCCCATTAAAAGAAAAGCTAGTCAAATCTAAAATTAACTCCACTGCGTATTTAAATTGATCAAAACTAAAACTAGTATTATTTTCGATGTTGCTCCATCTAGTTTCAATGGCCTTGATAACGAGAAAAGAGACATTATTGAAGGATAAAGTAAAAAGAATTAAACTGAACAAAAATAAATAAACATATAAGAAAGTCAAAGTTGTTAAACTAAGTTTAAAATATTGTCATAAATTACATTTATATTTTTCGTATCTCGTTGCAAATTAATAGAGTTCCTGTGTTTCCTAATAAAAATCATTTCTCCAATTTCTCTTTTTTTAAAATTACTTTTATTATGTAAAATCGTCACACGAATTTCGAGCAGAATTTCTTCTAACATATTTGTACTTAATTACAAATATATTATCAAATTAGAAAGAATTATTATTAGAAATAAAAATACGAGCGTTAATAAAATATAAGTTTAGTAAACTGCGTCACTTGTCTGTAAGTAAAATATTCTTTTGTTCTAGAAATTCTTATTTTTTATGCAAATGTGCCGAATAATAATAAAATTAAATTATAAATTTTTTATTTGTTATTACTATATTAAGTAAGTTATTACTTAAGTATAATAACAAATAAAAAATTTAATATAAATATATATTTGTATAATATAATTTATATATATAATATAAATTTATACATATAAATTATATTTTGCAAATATAATAATGATTATAAAGCAATTGTTCACACTTCGAAGGTTTTTTCTTCTTTTTTTTTTTTTAACTTATTATCGATTTAATGTGAACGTTAATGAATAGCCGGGACCGCTCCGAAAGAGCGCGAGGTAGGAACCAAGGGAGCAGTGGCGTGGAGATACTGAAGGCGGAGTAACTTTGAATCGTTTAACTTTTGAAAAATATTATATTACTTGAGAGCATGTTCTCGCTCAACAGCTCCTTACAGAATAATGCGAGAATCGCCACGTACGGCGAAACTTCCTGATTTTCCCGACTGAGAAGGGGAACCAAAATCACGCATCAGCCGGATGACACGTGTCTAAATGGACGCAAACATCGGTGAACGCGAACCGAGGAGCGAAAACATTGACATAAGCTCCTTGGTGTTTTCAAATTTGAAGGTTTAACGAGCTGATCGATAGCCTTCTAATTATTATTTTTATTCGTGTCTAAACATACCGCCCGCCTCGAAACCATCGTTTCGAAATGACTTGAACAACAAAAAAAAGGGGCGACTGGTGAAGCGATCGGTATGTCGTTTTACAGAGTGAGTTCAAAGCGATATCTGGAGTCTGACCTTAATTACGTAAGGTTGTCCAGGCTTTCGACGTCTATCGGAAGTAAGCATAATTTGACAATAGGCCGAGTATATTCGGAAGTCGCGGTTTTCACCGTCGCGACGCGAATCAAACCGTCTGGACCCGGGTGACATCGGATGACGCGAGCTAAGTCCCATTTACAAGGCGGAAGGAGAGAATTGCGTAACAGGACCAGCGACCCGACGCGAACTCCGTTTTTCGAAACTTGCTTCCATTTGACGCGTTGTTGCAAGGTATTGACGTAGTCCTGCTGCCAGATTTTCCAGAAACGTTCTGTGAGCTGGCGAACAAGTTGCCAGCGCGTCAAGCGGTTCTCAGCTAGATGCAGTACAGAGGGTTCAGGCGCGATCGTAATCGCGGACCCGATCAAGAAATGACCGGGCGTCAGAGAATCGCAATCGTCGACGGAATCGGTGAGAGGCGCGATAGGGCGCGAGTTTAGGCAGGCCTCAATGTTGCAGAGAATTGTTGTGAACTCTTCGAACGTAAGAGTGTGTGAACCGACGATTCTGCGAAGATGATACTTGACACTGCGAACCCCGGCCTCCCATAGTCCGCCGAAGTGAGGCGCGGATGGAGGCATAAAGTGCCATGACACCCCGTCGGAAGCGGCACTATTTTGAAAATTTGGATCGCGCAGCGCGGCTCGAAATGATGCGGCCAATTCGCGATCGGCGCCTACAAACGTGGTTCCATTATCAGAGTAGACTGATTCAGGCATGCCACGTCGGGAGCAGAATCTTGAAAAGGCGCCTAAGAAGGCTGGAGTGGAATAACTCTCGACTAATTCTAAATGTATGGCTCGCGTGGCCATACAGACGAAGATGGAGATGTAGGCTTTGCGGGAAGCGACACCGCGTCCCGACATTGATCTGATTAAAACGGGACCAGCATAATCGAGACCACAATTAATAAACGCGCGCGCAGGAGGAGAAACGCGCACCGAAGGCAAGTTTCCCATCAATTAATTGGGAGTAGCTGCCTTTTCACGCGTGCATACTACGCAGCGGAAAACGACAGCTTTGACAATATTTCGAGCACGCAATATCCAGTACTCTCGACGAAGAGTAGCTAGAGTTAATTGAGGCCCCGCGTGAAGAGATCTTAAATGTACGTGCTGCACGAGGAGGTTTACAAGAGAATGTGCAGCTAAGATTATAGGATGTTTTTCGGAGAACCGCATGGGGGCACGCGACAGCCGCCCGCCAACGCGGATTAGTTTGTCTTCGCCGAGAAATGGCGTTAAAGACAACAATGCACTCTTTGCTGGAATCGAACGTTGCTGCAACAAAGATTCCTTTTCCCGCGCGAATAATTCTGATTGAATTTGCGACAACCAAAAGTCTCGTGCTTTTCTACATTCGAGCGCGGAAATTGACCGGGAGCCTTCGTCGCATGTGTCGCGCGGCACCGAGTGTCTTTTAAGCTTTGAGATGAATCTCATGATGTAGGCGGTGACACGAATTAAACGCGGCCACGAAGAGTACCGTGCGGCAAGGTCCCATGGTTTTCGTCGCGACACGAGATGAGACGCCGCGTTTTCTTTTCGCTCCATCGTGGGCATCGAAAGAGACGAATCGAATGGCGCCGGCCATTCGGATTCAGAAAAATGTAACCATGCAGATCCCCGCCACCAGAGCGTGTGAGAGGTAAAATTCTCACCGGGTATACCGCGTGACGCGCAATCCGCGGGATTGTGATCAGTGGGGACGTGTCTCCATTGCGCGTTTGGGAGTCTAGATTGTATTTCAGAGACGCGATTCGCGACGAACGTCTTCCACTTTGATGGATGTTGCGCCACCCACGCGAGAACTACCGTGGAATCGGTCCAACAGTGGCAAGAATCTGCAGGGAGATGCAGGGATGATTTGACAAAATCGATTAGTTTCGCGAGTAACACGGCAGCGGCGAGTTCCAGCTGTGGAATACTTAATGTTTTTATCGGCGCGACTTTTGATTTTCCGATTAACAATCGTACTGTTATTTCACCGGATAACGAAACTATTCGAATATACACGGCGGCAGCGTAAGCGTGCGAAGATGCGTCTGCAAAACCGTGTAAGTCGCATCTGACGCTATCTGCACCGCGTTGAATCCAGCGGTCCAATTGAAAACCGTGCAGAGCGGCGAGAGATGAGCGAATGGAGTCCCAGCGATCGAGAATGTCAGCGGAAAGCACGTCGTCCCATCCGATTTTGAGCAGCCAGAGTTTCTGAAGGAAAATCTTCGCGACAACAGTAACCGGAGTACTCCACCCCAACGGATCGAACAATCTCGCGATAGTTGACAGGATCGACCGTTTGGTAGTCTGCTCGGAATGCGGAAGTGTGACGTTAAATTGAAAGGCGTCAGAGGACGGATTCCACCGGATGCCGAGAATTTTAAGATGGTCATCTGTTTGAAGCATTTTATCGCAAACTAGGCCGTGATCTGCGCTAGCGATATCGCTGAGGAGTTGAGAAGAGTTGCTCGCCCATTTTCTCAGCTCGAATCGGCCTCGACGAAGCAACGCGCATACCTGCTCGCGAACTTGACGAAGGAGAGGTATGTCGTCCGCCCCGAAGAGAATGTCATCGACATAAGTATTTTGCTGCAGAACAATAGCAGCGAGTGGGAAAGAACTACCCTCATCTTGAGCAAGCTGACGAATGACGCGTAGCGCTAAAAATGGCGCACAGGTTGTGCCGTATGTGACAGTAGTGAGCTGATAAGCTCGAGCGGGTTCTGAAGGAGCGCCGCTCCATAGAATTCGCTGGTAATCGATGTCACGCGGGTCCATAACTATTTGGCGATACATTTTTGTTATATCGGCAGCATAAACGTAGCGGAACTGTCGCCAGCGCAGAATGACAGCCGATAAGTCCGCTTGTAACTTTGGCCCGGTGAGCAAGTGATTATTCAACGACGTTGAATTGGTCGTCAGACTCGACGCGTTAAATACGACTCGCAATCTTGTCGTGACGCTGCTGTCGCGAATGACAGGATGATGAGGGAGATACACTTCCTGCGAGGCGACTTGATCGCTCTTCACTTCGTTCATATGTCCTAATGATTCGTAGTCGTGCATAAATTCGGCGTAGGCCGCACGAAGGTCGGAATGTAGAAGGAAGCGACGATGTAATCCTCGCAGGAAGCGTTCAGCCGTGTGGCGCGAATCGCCGATGTCGATCGGCGGACCGCTTTTAAACGGAAGGCGCACTGTGTATCGACCGTCAGCACCGCGCGAATGCGTGGCTGTGAAATGCTCCTCACACTGCTGCTCTTCAGGGCTGAGGAGAGCCTGTCGAGGAGTTTCTTCGATTTCCCAGAATCGTCTGAGCTCCTGATCTAGAGCCTCCGAATTCGCGCAATGCTGAACGGTGATCGCTCGCGATTGCGTCGACAGCTCGGACATGGGCCCCGACAAAACCCAGCCGAAAATGGTTTGCTGCGCAATTGGCTGCCCAGGGGCGCCTTTACGAACGCCGCTAAGCAGCAATTCGCCATATAAGTCTGCTCCGATCAGGATTTCGATCGGGTCAGCGCTTGTTGGATTCGGATCGGCCAGATTGAGATCGCTTATATAGCTCCAATCATAGCTGGAATTTGCCTTGTAAGGCGAATATTTTGTGAGAGATCTGAGAATCGACGCGGTTGTCATGAACACGGGAGCAGCTTGATTGATCGGAGCGATCCGAATCTTAGCGGCGAATTGACAAGTTCCGGCGTTCATTCCGCCGACGGCGGAAATCGAGAGTGGTTGGCGAATGCGACGCATTCTGAGAGTTTGTGCGAGACGCTCCGTGATGAAGGTGATCTCCGAGCCTTGATCGAGAAGCGCTCGCACGGTGAGAGTCCGACCCGACGGTGCACCGACGGTGACGCGGGCCGTCGCGAGTAACACTTGCGGGAGCGCGACGCCTGTTAGCTGGGAGCATAATGCCGTGGCCGAAGTAATCGCGATAGAGTCTGACGACACACTCGACGAGGTTTCGTTTTTTTGAGAGACAGCGGATGCAGTTGAGGAAGAAGCCGAGTCAACGTGCAGCATCGAGTGATGCTTGCTTTGGCAAGTTCTGCATGAGTATTGACTTGGACACGTTTGTACAGCGTGCTTTGCGCTCAAACAATTGACGCATCGCTTCGCTTTTAAAATGACTTCAAGGCGTTGACTCGGAGTCCTCCTCAAAAATTGCGGACATTTGTTGATGAAATGCGCGGCCCGACATAATAGGCACGATAAACCAGCGGCAGTGGCGTTAGCACTGGTAACTTTTGGCGCGCGCAAGAATTTGGAAGCATTAGCCGGAGAGATTTCCTCCAATGCACGAATGCGCGTGTCGAGAAATCGGTCGAGAGCTTCATACGAAGGAATGTTCGGGTCGTCACCGGTTTTTAACTTCCACGCTTTCCGAGTGGCGTGATCAAGTTGTTGCGTGACGCTAAAAACTAACATATCGCTCAACATTTGATCGGGTGATCGATTTAAATTTTTTAAAGAAGCGATAGCGCGATTCGCTTTGTCGCAAAGTGCGTTAAGTTCGACAGCGGATTCGCGAGCGACCGTCGGCAGAGAATATAGCGCTGATACGTGCACGTCGACGAGCCGTCGCTTATTGTCGAATCGTGAAACTAATGTTTTCCACGCGATATCAAAATTATCCGCGGTGATTTGAATAGATTTTATAGTATCGAACGCACGACCGGTGAGACTTGAAGCTAGGAAATGCATCCGCGAAAATGCAGTTAATTCGGTATTTTGAATTATGAGAGAAGTAAAGCGATCGCGGAAGCTCTCCCAGTCCTCGACATTTCCCGAAAACGGCGGTAGTTGAATCGGCGGCAAATGAGTTAAAGAAAAAGACGATGGTTCAGCGGTACTTATCGTGGACTGCGACAGGCTCGTTCTGGTGGGCGTTGGATCCAGCTCTTCGAGGCAGTCGGCCATGTAGTCGAGGGTTGTCTCGTAGTATTCCTCGCAATTTTCGAAAATCGTGTTCGAAAAGTAGTCCATGGTCCGCTGCTGCTCGGCGGTGAACGCTCGTGCCAAGATAGCGTGCTTCTCGATGCACCGTGTTCAGGTCTCCTTCAAGGTTGACATTCGTTGACGAATCTTAGCCGCCGTGTAATTGGCTCTGCCAACTTTTTTAAAGTTGGAGAGCGCTCGCTCTACAGATTGCAGCATTGTTAGCTGCTGCGAGAGATGATCGCTCATCGTGTTGGCTGTCTCCACCTTGGGTGCGGGCGACACGATGACTCCGTCACTGAGGTCCAGCAGAGAGAGATAGAGAGAGAGAGACGATCGCACTGCTTTCACCGTGGGTTACCTCGATCCGGCTCGAAGGACCAACTTTTATGTTCACACTTCGAAGATTTTTTCTTCTTTTTTTTTTTTTTATTATCGATTTAATGTGAACGTTAATGAATAGCCGGGACCGCTCCGAAAGAGCGCGAGGTAGGAACCAAGGGAGCAGTGGCGTGGAGATACTGAAGGCAGAGTAACTTTGAATCGTTTAACTTTTGAAAAATATTATATTACTTGAGAGCATGTTCTCGCTCAACAGCTCCTTACAGAATAATGCGAGAATCGCCACGTACGGCGAAACTTCCTGATTTTCCCGACTGAGAAGGGGAACCAAAATCACGCATCAGCCGGATGACACGTGTCTAAATGGACGCAAACATCGGTGAACGCGAACCGAGGAGCGAAAACATTGACATAAGCTCCTTGGTGTTTTCAAATTTGAAGGTTTAACGAGCTGATCGATAACCTTCTAATTATTATTTTTATTCGTGTCTAAACAGCAATAACAAATAAAAAAATATAAATATACATATATTTCTAAATATATGTAATATTTACATATATTTCTAAACATATATTTACATGAATATTTTTTTATGTGGAAATGTTAAATCGATTATTGCGTTATGAGATTAATAGTTATGTTATAAAAAAAATTCATTAAAAAATATATTCTTGCAACTTGAGGATTGGAGAGCACAAAAATAAAAAAGCATATCATGTTTCGAATGAATATGAAATTGGCCGTTCAAATCCTTAAGAAAGAAGTCAGTTGTTATGTATTCGGGAAAAGTGTGGAAGGTAGGAAACAGTGAGTTACACCCGTGCCGTAAATTCACTAAGAACGATATATATATATTTGTGACTCAAATATACTTGCGGTTTCTCGCAAGTCTAAACGCAAAAGGCCAAGTCAAGTCGGCCAGCCGCGCGCAGTTCGGGGGCCTGAGCCTCGGCCCGATTCGGCGCAGAACGGTCGACTGCGCCAATGCTAGACGCGCAAGTAGTACAAAACGGCGCGTCCTTTTGAAAACTTATGAATATATCTAACACTTCCCTTCCTTAAGAGCATTCTCCTGCTTGTAAATGAGTTTGAAAGGGAAGCGCAAAACGAAGAAGGAAAAGAAAAAAAAACAAAGAAAAAAAAACAAACAAAAAAAACGAACTAAAAAGGAACGCGTATTCTATGGCGTATGCTGAACAAACGAAAAAAAAAGAAACAGTGGGAAAACGGAACTTCTATTTGACTGCATAACCCCATCGCTCTGGTTCTCTCCTTTCCCTCGCTGAACGCCTAGGAGTGCCGTTCGGTGGCAAAAAGAGATCTGGCTCCGCTTGCGGTTCAGGGTCATTTGTCGGCTGTCTTGTTTCTCGTACATTTGGTATTGTGGCATTTTCGTCGGGTGGTCTCGATTCATCGAGATTTGGCTCGCTATTTACCCGAGCTCTTTCCGTCTTACGGATTTGGTCGATATGTCTTTTCACTATCCTACCACAATCTAAAACAATTATGTAATGTAATATGCCTATTTTACGCTGTATGTGTCCGAAAACCCATTTTTGTTTTTCTACGTAGTTTCGGCACTGGACTCTTTCTCTCTCGCGTAAAATTCGCCGTTTTATACTCGCATTTACAAAAATTTTCGGCTGTTCGCTTGGATGTATGAAATCCAATCTTGTTTTTATTTGGCGATTGAACATTAACTGAGATGGTGACACGTTCGTTCCACTGTGTGGCATAACTCGGTATTGTAAGAGTATTCTTTGTAACGCGGCATCCAAGTCCGCGTGGTTTGCGTTTGCATTACGTAATGCTTTCTTCAAGGTTTGGACGAATCTTTCAGCTTGTCCGTTAGTTGACGGATTGTACGGTGCTGTCATTTTTGAAATAATGCCATTTTTCTTTAAATATGATTGAAATTCATTTGAAACAAACGTGCGACCATTGTCTGTGATTATGTATTTCGGTATTCCGAAATTCGCGAAAGTTTCTCTACATTTCTTTATTGTAGCTGTAGCGGTTATATTGTGTAATATATATACTACCGGCCACTTCGTGTACGCGTTCACCATTACTAGGAATTGTTTACCCATGAATGGCCCAGCAAAATCCAAGTGTACTCTTTCGAATGGATATGTTGCCGGTTCCCAGACGTGGTTTTCGACTTTTGGTGGGTTGTTTCGCGTTTTGGTACATTCTTCGCAACTAGCTACTAAACGCTCGATGTCCTGGTCGATTCCGGGCCACCAACAATGCCTTCTCGCAAGACCTTTCATTTTCACAACCTCGAAATGTCCGATATGCAACTCGTTCAGAATCTGGCGTCGTTCCGTCTGTGGCACCACAACTCGGTGTCCCCGCATAATTACGCCCGTATGTAAGGTAAATTCCGACATTGGAATTTGAAAACGTCTGTTTGCAGTTACTCCTTTGCCTCTCTCCAGGGCTGTTTTAAGTTCTCTTAACGTATTATCTTTATCCGTCGCGTCCGCCAGATTCTTTGCGGTTGTCGGTAGTGTTTGAAGTACATTATCCTGGAAACTATCTATTACATCAATTTCTAATTGTTCGCCAGCTCGGATCGGGAGTCGGGACAAACAATCCACGTTTGCATGATGCTCTGATTTTTTGTATTTAATGTCGTAAATAAATCCTTGTAGGAACAACGCGTAGTGTTGCATGCGTAGTGTACTGTACAATGGGGGGCTTTTTGCGGGTGAAAAGATTTGAACAAGTGGGCGATGATCTGTGTACAAGTAAATTTGTTCGCGTATAAATACTAGTGAAATTTCTTTACTCCAAAAATGATAGCAAACGCCTCCTTATCGATTGTGAGAATACTTTCTGAGTTTCTGAGAGTGTTTTAGATGCATTGAATGACCCTCTCCGATCCGTCTAGATACACGTGTGACAGTACTG